GGGGGGGAAGCGCGTGCATGAACGTAATCGGCGTCGTTTACGTTAGGGGGGGGGAAGCGAGTGCATGAACGTAATCGGCGTTGTTTACGTTAGGGTAAAGTGTGCGTATGTGCTGTGATACTCTCCAAAATGGTGGAAGACAGTAACTCGGAGGAGAAAAATTGTTGAATAAAGTCATCACTTTTGTTTTCTTTGCGCACAAAAAAAGTTTTCTCTTAGCTTCGCAAAATTAAAGTTGAGCCACTGATGTCACATGGACTGTTTTACCGATTGTCCTTGCTACGTTTCAGTCTGGGAACATTTCAGTTGCATTGCTGTCTATGGAGGGTCAGAGAGCTCTCAGATTCCATCAAAAATATCTTAACTTGTGTTCCGAAGATGAACGGAGGTCTTACGGGTTTGGAACGGCATGAGGGTGAGTAATTAATGACAATTTTCATTTTGGGGTGACCTAACCCTTTTAATCTACGATGACAGCAGCAACTGTTAATCACGGTCAACACATTTGTACAGGTACCTGAAATACTGAAGAAAACAAAAATTATAATCTGCTGACACACTTTCTCCCCATTTTTACAAAATATTGAAATGGAGTCTTTTAGCACAGTTGTTCCATGCAATGCGACTTTGATGTAAATAGCCGTTTGCAGTTCATCGAATAGAAAGCTCCAAAATATTCTCACTTCCCTCATGTAGCTAGCAAAATTATTCAGACACCCAACACGTGTGACCATTACATGTGACTGCTCAGCTGCTTTCCCTTCATGACACATGAACTAAATGCCATCTATTCTGCACCCACCGTCAGATCTGACTGATCACTACAATATTTGCAGTTGAGCTGTGAAAGAAGAAGAAGAAGAAGAAGAAATAAATCAATAGTGTGTGAAAGGAAAATGCCAGCTGGTAAGAGTGGCTTATCATTTAACAATATTTTATAGACACTGAGGAAATGTGCCGCGCTTCAAAACAGCTCGACTGATAAAAATATGTAAATATTTGAACGAACACAAAACAGCATGATGAAGTTTGTCTTAAAGGCAAACGAATCTACAAACACACAGCGGCTATGGTTAGTGTCGAATGCATCCTCGCAAGCAAAATTCATTGTAATTTCTTAATTTTTCGAAATATCTACCGACAGATGGCGCTAATTTCGCTGCCAAAACGAAAACGGCATTTACATTCGAATTCAATCGGGAATAATGCCGTCTTTCACTAATCACACTTTCGTTACTCTCATCTGCGTCGAAGTTCAGTTCGTGGAGTTGTTCAGGGAACGACCGAAACAGTTCAAGCCAGCCTGTCTTTCCAGTCGCCGGAGAGAAGAGTGAAATTCACAGGAAAATTCAGCAAACATGGCTGCTGCGTGTGCTTTTTGTGTTTTCAGATTGTACCCTACCCCGTCTGATTTCAACTCCACAAATCTCCCGCAAAAGCCTCCGGTCGACCCGAACACATCCCCGGCAGCACCGAGCGAGCAATGCAACAATTCACCGCAACACAAACTCGCTGCAAAACTTTTATTTCCAAAGATTTTTTTTTTTTTTTTACAAAAAAAATCAACAGATCATGCACTGCACGACACATCCAGATCACATTCGAGAGAACCGGGATGTGATCTTACCGCGCACACAAACATGAGCTCCGGGGGAATGCGATCGAAGCGGCCCGTTACATTGTAGCATTCGTGAAGGAGGAAAGACGCGGGTGCTCCACTTTGTTACCTCCCAAAATGATGCGGAGAAATGTTCTGGGAATGAAGAAATCCTCCCCTTCGGATCTCAAAATGACGAAACGAGCGGGTCTTTCCGGGGCTTTACTCTCTCTCTCTCTCTCTCTGGGCCACCTCTGAAGATTTCTTGCACTATACCACACTGTTGATTTTTCTTTTGACTTCACCTCTGTAACTGCGAAGACTCTCTTTCCGCACGGCACCACCTTGTACCACTTGTCATGCAGCATGTCCATGTAGCCATCTGACTTGTAACGGCTGATGAATTCAGATATGTTGGAGGTGAGCGGTGAGTTCTGGGGCAGTCCGATCCCGTAACCTGAAGGGGGGAACCCACTCAGTCAGTCCAATTCATCAAAACACCTCCAGAACAAACAGAATGTGCTACAAAGCTTCATTAAACTGCCTGTCTATGAACCACTAATAGAGTTTCGAACAATTTCTTTAAGTGTTTTATAGGAAACGATCATTACGTGCCCACTGAGCTGAAATAATGGAGGGACGAGGGAAACAAATACATGACAAAAACAGCGAATCATCTCGACTACATCTTTGTTTTCATCTTTGCTCCTTGTGTTGTGTTTATTTATATATATATATATATATTTGTTTTTTTTCTCTTCTTCTTTAATGTAAACTCTGTGATTGTCTCAATGGAAGTGTCTTGCACTGTTGGTTGTTCCCTGTCTTGTTATGTGCATTAAGCAATAAAAAAAAGTTTAATAAAAGGACTTTTATGTATACTGTGCCGTTTCCTTTTTTGTTTTTTTTTCTCCATCTTCACTTCTCAAACGGGTCCCGTCTCGTCAGCGCCTCTAGCGGCGAGTCTGCGGAAGGTCTGGGAAGAAAAAACAAAGTGTGATTTCATGAAATTTGACATGCAAATTCCAATTTTCACAAAGACAAAAATATCACTGTGTTTCTGTGAGGCCTCATATTTAGAAGCTTGCAAACCACATTCTGTAGTAATGATTAGCACCAAAAATGTAGGCTATTCGATTTTTACTCCTCACCCCAGACTTTTCATTGTGTGCTTTTCTTTTAGTGAAGAGCAGGCAAAAGCACGCACATCAATCTCAACTGGGTGCTCGACTAAGAAACAAGTGGAACATTTTTGGATGTAAACTTGGCAACACCAAAAGCTCCAAAAGTTATCAAAACATTTATTTTTTTTAAAAACTGTCGCATAGCATATGTGATGTTTCGAGCACGCAGGCTCTTCATCAGACAAATGAACAACACTGATATCCCAATCTTTATAGGCCTACCTCCAGGTGATCAAAGGTCACATGACCGTACCATATTATCATGATAATAATAATAATACCAAAACAATAACATATCAAGCAAGGCGAAAAACATAGAAACCAAAATAAGAAATAAAAATAAATCAAAAACATATAAAGCTATGCAAAATACACAAATATAATATGTTTTTTTTTAGACCCATAAAGTATTTAGTTTATATATATATATACACATGCATACATACATATATTAAATAAAGATGACAAACGTTAATCCCTCAATAATCCATGTTATAGCAGCATAATGTAAAAAAAGGAAATTTGAACTTTTTCACAAATGAGTTAACATGACCATTGCCATAATTTCAATTTAGTTTTTGAAGTTTCTGAAATGATTTATCTACGTTGTACTTATGATTTAAATTTTATAAAAAAGTAAAATAAATTAAAAAATAAATTACATATATACACACAAATATTTAAAAATCCTAAAACTTTATTTTCTGGTTAGGGAAAAAAGAGAGATGTTTGTAATCTCAAACACCATCTAAAGTAAAAAAAAAAAAAAAAAAACACTTTCCACAACATAGTTAAATGGTTAACTAGCTAAATGTGCTATTGGCTATTTTCAGAAAACATCAGTTAAAAAATCAGCAAACAGTGAAGCAAATATGGACCACAAAACACTTCATGACTAAAGAACAAAAACCAAAAAATAAAATAATTATAAAAAATACTGTAATATCTGTTGGCCAGTTATATACAAATTACAGCATATAAAACTCAATTTACAACATTTATAAAACATAATAAAAAATATTGTTATTCTGTGAACAGTTCTTGGAGTAAAAACCAATTTGAACTAGATGTTTGAAACCGTACAAAACCACAGCTTTTGCGTTTGAATAACTCAAAACATTACAGTTACTACAATTGCAATTGTAGTCCCTTTTCAGACATCAGATGTATTTACATTGTGACTGGATGTACAATCAGCTGCATTTGTGTTTGTAAAGGTGTGGCCCAAATGGCCCATGCAGGCAAACGACCCATACAGGGAAATGACCAATACAATTAGAATTTCTAAGGCACTGTTTGCAGGGTCTCCAGCGGGACGTCCTAACAGTATGGTGACTATTGCTTGTGACACATTTGTCTCCACGTTTAAAATTCTGTCTCACAGACAGTATTTGGGTTAAGATTCATTGAAAGTTCACATTCTAACATCACTGCTCATTAACTGTGCTACAATACTACCTTGAATATATTCATCTCCACACAACAACTTTATCAAGCTTCCTGATTTTATATTAGAAGAAATCTAGAAGAAAGACCCCCCTCCCCCCCTTATGCATACCAGTGACTAAAATATACATATTAGGTATGAGAGTGAGTTTTGATATTAGGATAGGGTAATGTTTTTGATTGGCCTTTGGGCTGGTTTTTTTAGTCAGACCTGGCAACCCTGTCCAGTAGTGTGTTTCGGCCCATATTCTAATAGGATTTAGTGGTTTTAATATGCTGCCAATACAAAGCAACAATTTACCAGTAGAGACCCACAGGAACCATTACAGTTTTCATTAAAACCAATCAAATTCCCATTATAACCATTAAACCCCCCCCCCCCCAAGCAGGTTGATCTCCCTTTTGAGATAATCATTTAAAAATATAATTGAATGCAGCTCACTTACAGTTCACATTTACAGGAAGACTGTAGTATTTAAAGACTATCTTAGGAGAGTTAAATGGAATGATATTCAGAATTTCTCATTAGTTGATGTTGCTTGGATCAATTTTAAAGTTTTATTTTTTTAAGTAGTGGACAGATTTGCCCCCCTTAGACAGGTAAGAGTTAGGCAAAGATCTAGTCCTTGGATGGATCAGAAAATACTGGAAATATTAAAAAAGTAGGAATAGGACTCTCTCGATTTATAGGAGAACTAAGAATCAGGAGGACTATATACAATTTATAGCACTTAGAAATTTAGGACAGACAAATATAAAGGAGGCAAAAAAAGTAATTTTATTAAGGAACAAATACAAGAAAAAAAAAGGGAGATCCTAAAAATGTGTGGAAGGTGCTGAGTAGGTTCCAATCAATTGGAAAATCGAAAGTTTCTGTATCCAAGGATTACATATTGATGGCAAGATAGAATTTGATAAAAGTAAAGTTGCTAATAAATTGAATTCATTCTTTTCATTAATTGCAAATAGCTTAGTGGATAAACTTCCTCTGTCTAAGGGAATTTATGGGATTGATTTCGTTAAGAGATTTTATACAAAACAAGAGGTGTTGTCAGACTCTTTCTCTTTTACCAGTTACTTTAGATCAAATTACTAAAATGTTAGAGGAGCTTCAAGTGTATTAAGTCAACTGGGCTGGACGATATTCCAGCTAGATTTTTAAGAGATGCTGCAGATATTATAGCTCCAACTATTACACTTATTGATAACCTTTCCTTGGAAAAGCGTATAGTCCCATCTGAAATGAAGTTAGCCAAAATCATTCCATTATTCAAAAAAGGAAATAGATACAATCCTGGAAATTACCGTCCAATCTCCATTCTTAGTGTGGCCTCAAACAAATTTATAAAATAGACTAAAATGGTATAAACAGATGTATTAATATGTATGCAAGAATTGTTTAATTTATGATTTTCAATCAGGTTTCAGATCCTATTCGACTGATACTTCTTTACTTTATTTAACAGATTTTATAAGAAAGCAGATTGATGAAGGTAAAATGCGTGGTTTGGTACTTTTGGATCATTAAAAAAAAAGCAATATGCTTAGATAAATTAAGTGTCATAGGTTTTTCAAGTAAAGTGATAGCCTGGTTGAATTCAAATTTAACTGGGAGAGTTCAGAGGGTAGAAACTGATGGGGTTCTTTCTGATGAAACTATTGTTAAAAATGGAGTCCTTCAGGGAAGTGTTTTAGGCCCTCTTTTGTTTCTCTTATACATAAATGACATGCAAGCAGTTTGTGATTGTATTTTGTTTTTGTATGCCGAGGATTCTGCTTTATTGGTTTCAGACAGGGAAGTTGGTAGGATACAAGTGAATTTAGGTGAGGAGCTTTGCATGGTAAGAGACTGACTTTCTGAAAACAAACTCTTGTTGCATTTAGATAAAATGGATTGGATGTCTGATTTGCCACATAAAAAATTTTTACAAAAAAAAATATCAAAACAAACTGATAAGATGAGTTTTAGGGTTTAGTCGTTTTACACATGTTGATGTTTCCCATTTTAAGCATCTTGATTGGTTACCTATAGAAAGCACAATAGAACATATTAAAGTAAAAATGGTACATAAGAATATCAATAATAGAACTCCTTCATATTTTAATGCCTTTTTTCCAGGGTAAAGGAGCAACATTGTTATAGGCAAAGTCTTATGGATATCACATTGTCGTTTTAAAACTATGTATGCTCGTATGTCTTTTGAATACTCTGGGGCACAAGTTTGGAATAAGTTACCTCTTGATATTAAAGGTATTCTGAATATGGCTAGTTTTAGTTTAAAAGTTAAAAGTAGGCTATTTTATTGATGAATCTGTATTTGTATATGTTGTGTATGTGTTTAATTGTGATTGTAAATTTTGTTAATGTGTAATCTTATTATAATTTATGGATGTATATGCAATTTGCGGATTACATCATGTTTTCCTCCAGGAGATTTCTGTACTCAGTTCCATCTTTTCCAGTCTCTTCCACAGAGAAGGTTCCCCTTGGATGGTGTTCACAGCAACACAGGTTTTCACCAAACATGAATTTTGTAATCTTCCAGATTGTTTAGTCTTCAGTCCAGGATCACACCTCTTCAGTTCACAGCTTTAC